AAGACTGAATGGTATCTGTGTGTTATTGCAACCAGTAGAGCTCCCCCTGCTGGTTGTTACGTAGAATGCAGGTTTTAAGATGTTGAACACAATGTTGAACTTTTCTTTTTATTACGAGCTCGTTGTTGCACCAGATTGGAGGCATCAACGATATCATACAGTGTGTGTGTATCATAGTATTATTAGTGTATTAGCTGTAATATTCCTCTAACAGTGTCTCTCTGTGTGTCTCCAGTATTCCCAGGCAGCGAATACGGTGTCGGACATGACGGAGTGCGAACAGGCCAAAGAACTGGGCGCCATCAACAGCACCCTGAGGTGACAGCTCAGACCTCCTCCTGTCTGTTCTTATCTGCCGGCCGCAGACACTTTCCCTCCGTCTGCTGCAGCGGCTCATTTTAATCACAATGCAAAGCGGCTTCGACAGCTGATAGTAACCAGTCAAACATTCACAGGCGTCTGACGGGGAGCTGCTGGGAGCTTCCCACCGTTCACAGTGGCTGACTGACCTTCACTCCACCTCTGTCGTGGAAAATGTGGAGTTAAATATTCCAACCACAGAAAGAACTTTATATTAAAGTCTAAAAATGACCTCAGGGTGAACAAACCAGGAAGGGAGCAGAGTAGAGGGTAGCTATGGATCCCTGAAGTTTAATTAAACCTTAAAATAGATCATCAGAATTTATATTTAAGTCTTAAATCTGGTTGTTATTTAATCTCATGATGCAGAGCCAAGTTCTGATCACTGTTACATTAATCCTGAATTAATCGATCGATTGGAGGAAAATATCTCAATCTGATTCCAACCGATACTGAGAATTATTTTCTATAAATTCTGTGTTTGTTTTTATAGTTTCCCAGGGTTTGTTCATGTTGTTTTATATATGAAATGAACTATGTCGCACCAGAATCTCAGACCAAAACAAAGGGACCAGACTCCATTAACAAAACCCCTTCTTGTACTTTATCGTAAAACACACATGAAACTGGACAGAAACAGAAGTACAACTCATTGAAAAAGCGGTCTCGTTAGTTTTCCAACAAATCACCCAACTCTGGTTTGTGGAAATAAAATCCTTAAGTTCACCAGACGTAGATGATAGAAGAACAGCATTTCAGCGGAGCAGACGGCTATTGGAAACAAACCACACTGCGAGAGGCTGCGATACAACACAGGCAAGAGGGAGGAGAGACCCAGTGTGACTCTGTGTCTTTTATATAGAGAATATAATGTTTAGCTGATATATTAATGTTATATATCTCATATATAACCTTTGAACTCAACATATTGAGCTGTGTTCACTGAGTAAATCTAGCAAGTCACAGGCTAAAAAACCTTTAACTTCCTACAGCTTGTTAGTAAACTGTTTATTATGTAGGTAAGTTTGTATGTTTGTAATGTTATTAAGATAATATAGACTAATATAGACAACAGATAACAAAATACTCATTAAATACAGAATGAAAAACAGAATAAGAATGAATCAAACAATGAAAGAAAGTTTTCCTCATCACTGATAACGAGTCATAGAAATTAGATTCTCAATGACTTTTAAAAGTGTTTGTTTGATGATATATATAT